ACAGAAGGTCTATAGGTACCACGTGGTGAGTACCTATTATGTGTCAGACATTATGCTAGAGAACTACCTTATCTCACTTAATCCTATAGCACACAGTAGAATAGGTGTCAATTCCATTATCACGGCTGAGGAAACTGAGACTAAAAGTGACTAAGGATCTCGCCCAAGTTCCCAGAGCTAACAGATCCAGAGTTTCAACCCAGGTTTGTCTGATGGCAAAGTTTATGTCTTTCCATCGGACCACACTGCCCCATTGACCTACAAAGTGTTACCTTGCCCATTGTCCAGAGTAATGGAGAGAATATGGCTATAGAATATAGAATCATCCAGATTGTGGTTCAAATCCTGGCTCTACTGCTTCTATACTGAAGAATAATAATTTCTATCTTAAATAACTATTTTAAGAACTAAATTAGATGAAATAGTCTGTAGCGTGTTACTGGGTATGAGATGAAGGAAGCACCTTCATGAGCACCTTGTCCACACCCATTCTTCCATCTCATATGTGCAAGGCAGAGTCACATAATGGAAAGGACGTAAAATTTTACATTAAAAGAGAAAATTAAGTCTGAATTCCAGTTATACCACCCAGTAGCTGTGTGACCTTATGTAAGTCACAGCCTTTCTGAACTTTAGTTTTCTCTGTAAAGTGGGAATTTTAACATTATATATCTTACAAGATAGTCATGTGAATCACATCAAATGTGATACTAGAAACGCAAATACTTTTAAAATATAGGTATTATACAAATACTTTAAATATTATAAAAAGATCTCATTTAAACATAGATATATGAATGTATGTGTGTATATATATAAATATATACATGTTATAATACATGTGTATACGTTACATATATACATGTATATGTATTTATATATACATTTTATATGTATACACACACAGTCACATGCCACATGACGTTTCAGTCAACAACAAACTGCATATATGACAATGGCCCCATAAGATTAGTCTAGTTTTTATCCATCACCCTATATATGTGCCCCTTTACCCCTTATGCCCTCCCCCCACCTCCTTCCCCTCTGGATAACCACTAATTTGTTCTCTTTGTCCATGTCTTTGTTTATCTTCCACATATGAGTGAAGTCATACAGTGTTTGTCTTTCTCTGTCTGGCTTATTTCATTTAACATCATACCCTCCAAGTCCATCCATGTTGTTGCAAGTGGAATGATTTTGTCTTTTTTAATGACTGAGTAGTATTCCATTCTATATATATACCACATCTTCTTTGTCCATTCATCAGCTGATGGGCACTCGGGTTGCTTCCATGTCTTGGTTATTGAGAATAATGCTGCACTGAACATAGGAGTGCAGAAATCTCTTTGAATGTTGGTTTCATGTTCTTTGGATAAATACCCAGTAGTAGGATAGCTGGATCATAGAGTATTTCCACTTTTGATTTTTTGAGAAATCTCCATACTGTTTTCCATAGAGGCTGCACCAGTTTACATTCCTACCAGCAGCGTATGAGAGTTCCCTTTCTCCACATCCTCTCCAACATTTATTTCTTGTCTTGTTAATTATAGCCATTCTGATGGGTGTGAGGTGAGCTCCGTCTATCTTTATCCAGGTAGGAAAACGCCTTGGAAGCCTCAAGTCAGATCAAGAGATGATCACCAGTTAATGCAAAGAAATGACTGCATGACACTTCGAGTTACTCTTCTTTCTGAGCAGGGCAGGTGGGGCAGAGGAGCACGAGGTCTTTAATCTTCTGAGTTGTGAGTAACAGGCAGCAGGGAGATGCTCTCTGACTTGGAGCATGCCCTGTGATCTTTCAGGATGAAAGTTCGGTCAGAATGCAAGCAGGATGATTTGCTAATCAAGAATGGGATGGAGCAAGTGGAATGCACAACAGACCAGGGACAGCCAGGCAGAAGCCAACCTCCTGCTATTTTTTTTTTTAAGATTGGCCCTGAGCTAACATTTGTTACCAATCTTTTTTTGTTTTTGTTTTTGTTTTTGTTTTAATTCTTCTCCCCAAAGCCCCCCAGTATGTAGCTGTATATTCTAGTTGTAGGTCCTTCTGGTTGTGCTGTGTGGGATGCCTCCTCAGCATGGCCTGATGAGCGATGCCATGTTCACGCCCGGGATCCGAACCGGAGAAACCCTGGGCCACTGAAGCAGAGCGCGGGAACTTAATCACTCGGCCACCGGGCCAGCTCCAACCTCCTGCTATTTATTTCTATTTCTATTCAATGTTCTGAAATTTGGAGAGCCCAAAACCCTGCAGAAAGACCATTTCAGCTGCTGGCAGAGATACAATGTCACAGGGGTGGGGACGGGGAGGAGCAGCCTCTGCCCTGAAACTCACTGGATCTCAAAATCTCCTCTTCTTCCTCCTCCCTCCCTTCCTCCTCCACCTTCTCCCATCTTCTTTGTCCCCCGTTCTTCTCCCTCCCCCTCCTCCTCCCCACCCTTGTCTTCTTTCTCCTCTCCCTCCTCCCCCATATCCTCCTCCTCCTATCAGTTGCCTAAAGAGAGGGATCATAGCCTTACCCACTAAGTCACCAGGGATGGACAGGGAAGGCTAGATGCGGGAGGCAGGAGGAGGTCCGAGGCCTTTCCTGTCTCATCACTATTCTCAGGTCTTGGGCTGAGGCAGAAGGTTCAGCTCACTGGTCTTGTGACAATATTCAGGCCTAGGATTTGACCAGCAGCTGTCCCCAGCAGACCAGACTTTTGAACACCTCGTTGGACCCTCCATTGTCTCACAGCACCCACCCCCCAACCAAGCTAACATCCCTTGTCTCCAGCTGCTTCTTGGCCCCCTACTGTTCTCATTTGTGATTTTATTTTCCCTGAATAGAGGGAGTTACTCAGAGCTGGGCTCGCATCCAACTGGTCCAGCACCATCTTTCTCCTCCCTGGGCCATTTGCTTCTCTTCGAGAGTGTTCTCGCTGGGTCTGCCTTCCCTCTCTCCATCTGGTGCTGCGTGCCCTCTGCGTGGAGCCTGCAGGGCTGGAGCTTGCCAGGCGGGGCAGCCAGCAAGCAGCAGAGCCTTCACAGCGGTGAACTGGGAATCCACACTACCTAGGCTTCTCTCCAGTCTATGTCAGAGAGACGAAACACCTTAGAGAGGTTTCAAAACATTCAAGAAAAGAAAAAGCAAACGCACAGCATGAGAGAGCTTTGTCCAGCCAGCACTTTTACTAGCAATAAATCTTCTTTAAAAATGTATGAGGAAAGAAAGAAAAAAAAAATTGGGCAAATTGCTTTGGTGGAAAATCATTTCTCCCTCTCTCAGCCATTTCCCTGCAACAGTTCTTCACTCTCCCAGAGAGAGCCGCCAGCCATGTAAGGCAATGGTGCAAACGAAACTCACGCCGAGCCCCCAGTCAAGTCAGCGACAGGGCACAGACTGCTGCTGTGGGTCCAGCTGCTGTGGCCCGAGGAGCCCACTGGGTTTCCGATTTTGCACTGACCCTTGCAAGTGTGCTCCAACTGGAAAAAATCGCAGACCTATCCATCCATCTCCGTGTTGAAGTCCCCAGGGGAGGCTGGCAGACATGCTGCAAGGTGTCTTATTTTCCCTGATCCCGAGGATGGCCATGGGTCCCTGAAGGAGTCCAGAGTGATCTCCGCCAGGCTGCTGGGAAATGACTGCATACCAAATAGGAACAGAGCCTGGGATCTATTCTCTGTGGCTGGATGTCCAGAGGTCAAACGAGTCTGCTTTAAAAATATCCCTGCATTACCCTTCAGGTGTCCATCACTAGCTGTGAGACTTATGGAGCTTCAGGTCCTTACAAAATAAAGGGGGCATACAGTGAGCAATGTTTGTCACATATCTCTGAATGCAGAGCCCTGGCACTAATTTCCCAGGACCAGGCTCCTTCTCATCTGCTGTACCCATTTGCCTTTGTGATTTGGGCCACACGTTGGGCCCACATGGTATTTGCACTACTCCAAGAGACCAGGAAAGCCTCCAGAGCAGGCTCAGACTCCAAGCTTCTTCACATACCATTCAGCATCCCTCAGGGAGCAGGGCGCACCACCTTCACTAGGAGGTTCTTGCTGATCGCTTTGGGAGTTTGAGCCTCAGTGACCACACTCTGCCCTGGCCTGATCCCTGGGGCACAACCATGTAGCAACCTGGAGGCAAATGCATGACCCCAAAGAGAATAATTATGTCGTCGCCAATAAATAAACAATCATTGGAACAATTAGTGCTCACGCCTCTGGAGTTTGCTTCTCACCTCAGGACAGCCTTGCTCTCTGACCTTGTCAATACACTGATATGTTCTAAATAAGTGGTTTTACTGGGGGTGAGATGCAAGCTATCTAGAAACTGAGCGTGACTAGAATACACCATCCCTGGCCTTCCAGGAAGTGATTTGCATTGTGATGCAAAATGATGCTAGAATCCCAAACCTCACCAAGGTTCTCAGCAGCAAAAGGAAACATCGACCCAGTAATAGGCTAAGTAATGTTCCTACTGGTGATGCTGAGCAAGGAAAAGGAATAAGAAAGAGAAAGAGATAAAAGAAGAAAAAGGCAAGCCATTATCTGGGAACCTGAGATGATTGGGGGTAGGACATCAGAGTAGGAAAAGAAAGAAGTGGCAAGAGACAGAAGGAGGGTACGTGACAGGGTGCGGTAGAGGGCCATTCACTGCATTAGATGATCTCTCTCTGCGGCACCTTTTGTCCTCTTAATTAACTCAGTACAAATAGATTGCATACCAATTATAGGCAGGGCTCTCCAGAAATCCTCAGGAAGGAGATATGGAGATAAATAAGATATATGGTTTCTGCTCTCAACTTGCATACAGTTCAGTTAGGGCTAAATTATAGACACAAATACCAAAACCACATGTTGGACATTACTAAGTTTACCACAGAGGTATACATTAGTTTCAAAGAAGAAGAGATTCTTGGCTGGGGGTGGAAAATTTCATGGAGGAGCTGGAATTTGAGCATCCTCTAAGCTAAACGAATGCCCTCTTTCCTGGCACTAATGAATTTTCCCTTTCCAGGGATTCAAGATAAGAAGGTACAATCTTTTATCTCAGAGGCAATTGGGTACAAAATGACAGGTGAGTTAATGATGAAATGTAAAAGTGCTTCCGGACATTTCTAGGTGTAAATTTTGTCCACATCATACGCTCCCAATCATGCACCTCCTTCATTCCCACATTGTCTTCTACATCTATTTCTGGCCCCCTCCTCAATGCTACTAAGCGCTTTGAGCATCTCTTGTCCCTGTAAGAACCATGGTTGATGTCCATGGCTGCAACAAAGTCTCCTGGGAGCCTGTTAAAGTACAGATGAATAGGCCCTCACTCCAACTAACTGACGTGGGACCACAGTGGGTCCATCTGAATTTCTATATTTATAACAGGATCCTGAATGAATCTAACAGGAAGTCGTATGTGTTGATCACAGGATCAGTGCCCCTGTTGTAAGGTTCTTCCACCCGTTACATTGAGGACACTAAAATGTCCTGATTATAACGTAAAAATATGGTGACATCTCTCTTGTGAAAGCCAACAGGGAGGGTTCCACTTGTTAATATTTTTCCATTTTTCAGAAGTTTCAGACTTTCTTGGAAGACGAGTTTGGGCAGGGGGCAGGACAGGACCAGGAGTTAGACCTCAGGATTTCTTTATCCAGCTTGGCTGCAAAGCCACCTAGGACCTGGGTTGAATCTCAGAGCACCAGGTCATCCACTTAGTCCATACTGGCCTCGTAAACTTTGAGCTGATGAGTCCCAGGTGAGAGGTTCTTGAGAGTAAGAAAGCAAAACCCTTCTTTCCCTCTGGAAGGAATTCTTCCTCTCCAGGAAGTTATTTCTTCCCAAGAAACACAAATTAACTAACTGCCACTACTGACCTCCAGACCAACACAAACCCATTTCCCCTTGAAATTAACCTTCCATTCAGAATCTAAACAATGTCTAATTAGCTCCAAGCACTGGTGAGCTAACTGGAAGAGAAGTCTGTAGGAAATTAAAACAAGGGGATAGCTTTACTGGTGAAAAAAAAGAAGAAGAAATAGCAAAACACCATCCTCCAATTATCCTTCTTCAAACCTCTGCCCCGGTTCCTTATCCTGCATCTTCATCTGTCTTCCTTTCTACAAACCTTGTAAAGGAGTCTGCTTTTCAGACAAATATTTTTCCCATCTCATTTGACACTGAGAAGGCAGGAAAAATATTGCCCATCACGATAAATATCAGTATAATATTCCAATTTTCCAGCATTTGACAGCAATCAAGGGAAGAGTAATGTGTTCCCTCTGTGACTAAATCATTTAGAGACCAAGGTATTCTGTCTCATTCTCATTAGGAAAAAAAATATTCCAATAATCTCATTATCCCAGTGTGAATAACAGTAAAAAAGCACCAAGACTAATGACTTCTTCCGCGCTTGCCTCCACAGATACGGGCCCGGCTGTGCTTCTGTGGGGCACGACTTGGTAATGGGGTCTTCTTTAACAGTGATCTGATCTGGCAGCAACTGCTGCTCTGAAAGTCCTGCCTAACAGAGCAAAGTCTTGCTTTGTCTGCGACAACATTTACACACACACCCCTGGACCCCAAAGACTCTTTTTACGTACTTCTTAAAAAACTAACTCCAGTGGAAAAAGAATGTGTCATGGCATGTTAAACTTTATGGAAATCCTTCTGGAGAATAACATAATTTCATGGTGCATTACTCTGAAATGACCTAGTACTTGAACAATTAATTTTTAAGATGTAGCATTGACTTCCCCTTGCTGTATTTAACCCGGATCTGAAATTGTCAACAATGCCAAGGGTTGCACAATGAGTTCGGAGAAGAGCAGCAGCCTGAAAATTATTCCATCTCCTGTGTTTTCTTTTATCAGACATAATGCTCCCCTCTTTGGTTCAAAATGAAAGGAGAAAGGAGCAGTTACTCTAATTAGGAACACCTCATAAGCAACACAGCCTGGCAGGAAAACAGCACAGTCTAGCAGACATAAACTCTACTTCTTATCTTTGCCACTAGTTTACTATGTAAACTTGGACAAACTTCTTTTCCTCTCTGGGCCTAAAGTGGGGAAAAGAGCGATCTTGTTTGTTAGGCATCTAAAAGGAATTCCTTGGTGGTAAGTGAATAGATTTATTATATATCCTCAGACCTCCTTGGAACAAAAGCTCAGAATTTCTCCTAACTTTTTTGCTGTCCTTTCTAAGCCCTACTTTTTGTTCTACTACTTGCTTTCCCCATCTCCTTCTCTACACCCACTCCTCCTCTACATGCCCACAGATAAGCAGAGAACTGGTATGCAAGAGCATCTTCTTAAGACTCACATGAGATCATTTAAATTCATGGGAAAAAGCTATAGTATGGTAGAGTTGGAAAGAATCTTATAAAACATCCAAGTGAGTTCCTTCACTCTGGGGAAGAAAAAGACCAGAGAAGAGAGATTTTTCCCAAGGTCACACGGGTGTTTATTGGTAGAACCACTAATTGCCGGTCCAACACTCTGCCCTCTAGACCAAACTCATGCCACAATTATTGTTTTCTATTAAAAACAAGCCCGGAGTTCACAAAGGCAACATTGGACTTACATACGCAAGCATGAGAATAAAAGGATTTTAGAGTTCAAAAAAAGCCTTACAAATCACTAAGGCTGACCTGCTAGGTGGGTAACCAGACATCTGGGTTTGCCTAGGGTTGAGGTGGTGTTTGAGATGTGGAACTTAAAACCAGGAGGGTCCCAGGCAAACTGGGATGGGCTGGTAACCCTAACTCATCTCCAAATGATGCTTAAATTTATTCTCCAATCCTCAGCATCCTAACATGAATCTCTTCAGCACTAGAGCGTTTACGACATTCTCATTTAGTAAATTGCATTGCTGGAACTCCAACCTGTAACTATGGAGCTGCATTCTTCCCTTTGGGGTCCCACCAAACAAGAACATGGATCTGTTGTTCTGTGTGTGCCCACAGCCATTCTGCTATGGATCCTCTCTCTCGGAATCTGAGAAGACAATAGAATTAGAAGCTATATGGACACAGCAAAGCATTCTAAACATGTTCTTTCTCTCTGCTGGGCTTTGTTTGATGAAAACAACCTCTTATTTCTTCATGGCTACCTATAGAAAGCATTATTAAGTGACTGTAGAACAAGGTTTTTGCTTTGTTTTGCTTTTTACTTATCTGAGATTCCGATGTCCCCGATTTCATTCTGAGGCAGTATTCCTTTTAGGGACTGGCCTCAGGATGATCAGATAGCATAGGGAGACAAATTTCTGAGGCAAGAGAACAACCAGAATCTGTGCCTTTTTGTAAACTCTTCTGGGACCCAGATGACTTTTCTAGCCACGTATATCTGATAGGGCCAGAACTGCTCCCAGATGAGAAGGATTTTCTTAGTACTCTGCTCGCATGGGTGGCTGCTGCAACCTCACCACTAATTCCTTTGGAAACTGACTTGACCCACCATTAGTTCTGTTCAAGGCATTGGTACCTTCTTTCCATAGCACAACGGCCATTTGGGTAATTTTCCAGGGCACCAAGGCAGATAGCTGAGTCCACAGGAAAAAGAAAAAAAAAATTGCAAGAAAATAAAATTTGGGGGTAGGTTTTCTCTCCTCCCAATCTTCAACATTTCCCGCCATCCTTTTCACTATTGCAGGGACCAACGTCTTTCAGTTGCCCTTCAGCTACCCAAAGCATCCCCACTCTCTGCCTAGGCCCTTTCTTTCTCCTAAATACCACACGTTCCAATTAACCACCACCACCCAAAAAAAATAATCATAAAGGAACAAAAAAAAAGATCTCTCAAATTGTGGTTCTGAGATGAGTTCAAAAGAAAGCAATTTAATTATCTGATTAAAGAAATGTATGCTAAGGTGAGAATATGAGGTTTAACTTTCACAAGGATTTTTGTCTTAAAAGAGGAGCTCATTAACCATAATGCAAGTCTCTAATGGATTTTCAAAATGTTTGGAAAGAAGAGGGTCCTTTCCCAACCCTTGCCTACTCTCACCAGCTGCTCCTCTTTTTGTCTTCCCAAGTGAAAGCTTCCCATTTATATATTAAACTCGGAGAGAAGCTGGCAGCTCATTTGGCTGCTTCTTAAAAAATAAAAATCATTGTTATGTACAGCAGTTACTTTGTAGAATAACCTTCAGTTTGGATCTGTTTGACGTTTCCTCATAATTATACTTAGGTTATGTATTTTTTACAGGAATGCCACAAAAGTGATGCTATATTCTTATCAATGAAACATCAGGAAGAATATAATGTCTATTTGTCCTATTACTGGTAATGTTAACTTGTATCTCTTGATTAAAATGGAATCTGCCAGGTGACTCCACTGTAGAATTAATTACTAAGTAATTTGTCCTTATTAATTAATAGGTAATTTGTGGGAAGATGCTTTGACTGTAGATAAATCTCTGGTTTCTATTCAAACTTTTACCCACTAGTTTTAATATCTGTTGATGATTCTTGCCTGAATCGTTTAATATTAAGACAGTACTGAAAAGGTGATTTTTCTAATGTCTATACCACTTCTACATTTACAAGTTGGCATCCTACCATCAGATAGAGCTTTCTTTTTTCTTCCATTCATTTATTCATTTATATTAGTATGGAAACATGGATTCCCATTTTATTCAATGGATCATAACCTGTTACTATCATTATTGATTTTGATGTTCTAAATGCCAGATTTGGCTGGTAGGAATTCACACAAGTAGGCTCTTACATGCTTCTGTCATATCTTCCAACATTCTTCGAATGCTTTCGTACATTCTGATGCCTGAAGATGTTGCAGACTCACCTTGTGCTTTCCCTGACCCAGTCTAAGAATCAATGATTTCTTCAAGAAGTTTTTGTTTCTTTCATTGGATAATATTTAGAAAGCAAAATCTAGGTGTGTTCATTGCTCCTGCCATGTCGTTGATTCTAGGTCCTCTCAATGGGCAAAGCCAGGAAATATATTTATGCATATACACATGAACTTCTATATTTATTTCTATTTCTGTATCCATATGTATGTCGATAGGTAGGTAGGTAAATAGATAAATGATAGATAAAAAGATGATAGATAGAGGGTCAGCCCAGGGGTGCAGTGGTGAAGTTCACACGTTCTGCTTTGGCGGCCTGGGGTTCACTAGTTCAGATCCCAGGTGCGGACCTACTCACTGCTTGTCAAGCCATGCTGTGGCAGGCGTCCCACATATAAAGTAGAGGAAGATGGGCAGGGATATTAGCTCAGGGCAAGTCTTCCTCAGCAAAAGAAGAGGAGGATTGGCAGCAGATGTTAGCTCAGGGCTAATCTTCAAAAAAAAAAAAAAGATAATAGATACATAGATGATAGATAGAAAGCCATGAGTTTACACCAATACCTCCAATTCTAACCCAATACCAGAAGGTGTATTATGGCCTCCTCTCTTTTCATATTTGTAACTCCATTCTTTAACAGTAAGAAACTCTCGCTATTCTCAAAATATTTGCTTATTTGCTCAATCTCCCTGTATTTAACCAATATTGGCTCCTCTCCTTGGTCTTATTCATACCTATCCTGACCACACAAATTGCCACATTAGCTTTGGCCCTGCTAGACCATACCACCTTCATTGAATTCTTGGTCCTGGTCCCATGGACACACCAGACAACTGGTCAATTCTTCACACTCAGCCTACATTGCCAAAATTTTTGTGTTGATAGTCAATAATCCATTAGGGAAATCTAAAGAAAACATAAAGATCTTTTATATTTACCCACGGTTTTACCTTTTGTGGTGCTCTTCATTTCTCCATGAAAACCCAGGCTTCCATCTCTTATCAGAAGACATCCTTTATCATTTTTTAGGTCAGGTCTGTGAAGAGGAATTATCTCCTGTCTTATCTGTCTGAAAAAAAGGAAGAATAATCTTACTGGACATAGAATATAGAATTTGAGGTTGACGATTGCTGCCTGTCATGCCAGTCCATATGCAGGCATGAAATGGTCATTAAGAATCAGGCTGGTTTCTCATTACCCCTTTTAGGGTGGGTTCACTTTCTATTCTGCTGTGTCTCCCACAATTAAAGTGAATGTGAGACACTTTTCTTTTAGAAAGGGTTCATCTCTTTCTGGATTTAGTTCATTTAGGATTCCTTGAATCCTCAGATCTTTGATGGATTTTTCAAAAAACAGTATGATTTTATAGTTTATCAATTGTCCTCATTGTTAGGATGAAATCAATTGTCTCCTGCACCAGCCCTATTTTTAATACTTTTCTTTCCCTTGGTTTCTACAACTCTAATCTTATTGACTTCTTCTCTAATTTTCGTTCTCTCTTTGTGTAAATCCTCTTCATATCAAGCCTTGAAAAAGCACACCTTGTGGGATCTATTCAAAATGCAAACTTATTTTTGTATTTCACCATCCGTTTATACTTTTCCATTGGAAGATGTCTTTCCCAAGTCCCTGGATAAAAAATTGGGGTAGTTACTCTAGGAAAATAAATAAAACCAAAGATGATTTATGTCATAGAGTCTCAATTTAGAAATCAGAAATTCCTAGTTAAATGTGTTAATTGGCATTTCAATCTTCTTTCAAAGGTATAACAGCCCTTTCCTCTCCTCACACCCCAAACGGCACAATTGAAAGCAGACTGACTACCTTGAAGAAAGGAGGTGAGGTTCATCTTTTCTTTATTACTTGCTCCTCGTTGCTGTTTTTAAATTTTCCATGGTTCAATTGAGGATGGGATGGAGGAAGGAGGGAAGAGGAATGAGAAAGCTCTGGCTTGACTGGAACTGTCTCTAGGAGGGTCTGTTATATCCAGGCTTGGCAGGAATGGGAAGCTGACTCTTCCTTTCATGAGCAAATGAGTGGGTGTTTTGGAGGCTCTCCTACTAAAACCCCCAAACAGAACTCTGTCTGACATAAGCTCTCTTTGTCAAGGAAACGTTTTAAATAACACCAAACGAACATCTTACCCTAAGGTTCACATCCTTTCTCCAAGATCATGCACCCTGGATGCACCATCAGAAGGAAATGCAATTCTCTCTCACTATGCTGCTACCACAGGCCAGTTCATCTGGCTTTTCCCTCACGTTATGATTCCTAAGGCATGTGCTGGATGCCAGGCAATTGTCCTCTCCACTTTAAATACGAAGTTTACATTCCAAGCTCTCCAAGTGATCTCCTTTGAGGTTCTTCCCCACAGACTTGAGTGAGAAATGGTAAGAATCCCAGAATAGACTTTTCCCAAAGAAGTCCTCATCATAAATTCTTCTATCAATTTCTACAGATCCTTTCACATTTTCTTCGTTGACATGAGAGTTAGCAAAACCTTCTCAGACACCTAATTTTAAATTTCTGCCTGGTGATCTGACACCCCGCTTTGTAATTTGTACATCTATTTTTTTCTTATTGTCTCAGTGAAAGCTTCCAATTTAACATCCTGTTTCATCTTCCTTTCTCCATCCATTAAATATTGATATTCCACAGATTTCTGTCCTTGAGCCAATTATTGCTTCATTCAACACACTTGCCTTCTCTGAGCGGTTTTTCCACTCTTGTGGCAACAATTATGTACATGCAAATTAGTTCCAAATCCTTACATCGAGTTCCATTCCCTCACCTGAGCCTCTGACTGTTAATTCCAGCTACTTATTGAATAATAACAGTGTAGAGGCTTCATGGGAACTTTAAATGTAATAAGTCCCAAAACAAACTTAACATTTTCTCCATGCTGTTTCTAACTTGCACATACATGCCTTCAGTTCTGCTCTTCTATCTACCTGGAATGACCTTCCCTTCCTCCCCACATTTCATTTCTGTCTATGTATTGAGAAACCTACTAACCTTCTAGCCTAGACATCAACTTCTCATTCCAACACCCAGAAAATTTGATTGCTTCTCTTCTGGATCCCACAGATTTTCCTTTCCTCCACTAATGGCATTGCTTTCTATATATTCACACGTGTGCCTGTCTCTGTCCTTGTACCTTGGGAGTTCCTCCAAGGCAAGGACCATGTCACACTCATCTCTGCATTCCCTAGTGCCCAGGGCAGTCCCAGTGCACAGTCGGGTCTCACCAAATGTTTGTTTTATGTTAATTTTGCTTTATAGATGTCATATCAATTGATTTTTACAATATATCATCAGAACAAAATTATTACTATCTCCAAATTCCGGACAACAAAATTACAGTTCAAATAATGTTGTCACTAGAAACAAGGTCTCGCTGGAGGACAGTGGAGTCAGCACTTTAAAACTATATATTTTACTCATAGCTGAGTACTCCTCTTTTCTGGGGTGTTTGTTTTCATTCCAACCTTAGAGTGTCTGGCCTTTCAAGCATCTCTAAAGATCTTTCAATCTCTAAGCACGTACCACACATTTTTAGATAAAAGATTTATGAGGACACTGCCTCTATTCTTCTGCCTCCTCCAATTCCTTCCAAACAACAGGCCTAAAATACATGAGCCAATTCCTTTGGCTAATTGATATTTCATAGGCTTTCTACTTTGTTTCGTCATGTCATGATAGCCATACAAGTTGTTTATAATACTGGTACAAGGCCACCTCTATGCTTCTCTGCCCTTTTTGTTTACACAAGCAAGTCATCTACAACTTGGCCTGCAGTTAAAAGGGCGCCACAGAGCCATGTGTCTCTCCAGGAGCCAGGCGTTGTGCTGAGAGATGCTTCAGGCTGTTTTCTCCAGCCCTGGCCTGTGACTCATAGGTGGGTATTGTAAAGAAACACTGAACTTTGTCTTATTAAACGTTTTTGATTCTGACAAAGATTTTCCTCAGCTTTGCCAGTTAATATAGTTGGCATATGTCTTAGCAGAAACTGGGATGGAGCTTGCATTCATGTAATTCATTCTGGGAAATGATTTCAGGAAAGAGTAGTCAGGGAGAAGGGCAGGTAAAATTGATGAGGGTGAAAAGCCAGTATAAGGGTGTAGTATTGAGCTGGTCACTCCTGTGGACAATGGTGATGAGGATTTTTAGGCTGGTTAATTTTAAAACAGTTTATGATGAGGATTTTTAGGCTGGTTAATTTTAAAACTGCAGATGAGAATCAGGCTCTGAGGAGTGGAATTTGCTTGCCCCTTTGTTGGGAAACATTTACATTTCTAAGGGAAACCTCTGTCTGTAAAGATGCCTCCCTCTCTGTGCCAGGAAGAAGGGGGATGGCCTTATCTCTAGAAACTCTTAATCAATGCCAGAGGCAAGAACTTAAGTTGTTTACTGCCTGGCAACCTCATGTAACTGAACCCCCCCCAATCCTCCTTTGTCTTTAGTTGAAGATAATATTTAAGTGGTGACTTCTGCCATTTACTCAATCGGGTTTGATTCTTATCTAAAAGTTGTGGGACCGCCAAATGGCCGGACCCTACGGGCACTGATACCATTTTAACTTTTTTACATATTCTTTCCTTTGTCTTGTAAAGAGATAACTCACATACCTATGCCTTAAATTTAGCTCTAACCCTCAACTTGGAGCAGCAGAAGTGGCAGCAGCAACATGCCGGCAGCAGTTCTGCCTGCCCATGGGTCCTGTCACCATGCCAGCGGCGGCAGCAGCAGCTCCCCATGCCAGCAGCATCTCTGACTGCCCATGGGTCCTGTCCCCACACAGCAGCTCTGACTGCCCATGGGTCCTGTCCCCATGGCAGCAGCAGAAGCTCTGACTGTCCATGGGTCCTGTCCCCATGTTATTCTATACTATTCTCTAAATAAAAGAGCACTACTGCCAGATCTTAAGAGTCTAAGAAATCTTTCTTTCAACTCCTCGGCTCACCGACCCCGCATCAATGGGACATCAATTTCACTGGGACACACTGAGGAGCTGGTACAAAATACACTTCAGAAATGTCCACCTCAAAGAAGGAAGTGGAGAAGATTTACCACAAGCTCCCGTTTCCCATTGATCAAAGATTGTTCCATGGAATATTAACTCCCACTCACTTCTAAGTTGTGTATGTAGATGCCAATTACTTCCTGCACCATCCCCACCATGGTGTCACATGATCTTGAGGCAAAAAGCAAGCAAGGGGATGTCAGGTTGCACCTGTGTGATGCTGGCTGCCCTAGCAATGACTGGGGTAAAGAGTGGGCTGAGTGAATGTGAGACAAGGCACTTGAAGAGTCCAGTTTAACAGTGAGTCTAAACTAGACAGCTGGTCTCCAATGACAGAGCTGTGCCAGAGTTTCCTTTAGGAGGAACTGGAAAACAGAGAGCGGTGTCAGAATATATGTATGGGTGTGTGAGAGCTTCTCAGAAGCCAGTATCATCAGGGCCAGTACCATTGAGAGGAAAAGTCAGAGGATTCAAAGGGCTGTCAAAGAACTGCCAACAAAGCAGACAGACAGCCAGAAGGTGTGCCTTGGATTCACCAAGTCACCTAATCCAGGATTCTCCAAGTTCTGCTTTGTCTACTGCTGCTAGCCTGTGTTCAGCTTAGCCTTCGGGGCTAGATGGACATCCACATCCTCAAGGAAGCTGCGTGGTCCAGAGATCAGCCATGCTGCATCCCACACTGCTTTCCTCAGCAAAGTTAGCCTGGTAAATTTAAGAGGCAATGTCCTCCATCACCTCTGCCTCCAGCTGAGACTCTCCAGTTTAAACTCTCATCTCCCACCCAATTAGGGGACAAGTGCCACCGGCCCCTCTCTATCACCCCTGCCCATCATTGTGATGTCCTCCTAATGGTCACTTGGCTTATTACAGGCAACACTCCAGGACTTGGCCTGCCCCCACATCTCTTTCCCAACCCTTTTCAAAACCTTCCTCTTGTGTTGTTTGAACCTATAGTAAGTCAAATAATGTCCCCCCAAAAGCCCATGCCTTTAATCCCTGAACTTGTGGAAATATTACATTACATGGCAAAGGGACTTTGCAGATTTTGTTGTTATAGACCTTAAAATAGGGAGATTATCCTGGATTGTTCACGCAGGCTCAATCTAATCACTTGAGCCCTTAAAAGTTAAGAAATTTCTCCAAGTGGAGTCAGCCAGAGACGTGACAAAAGAGAAGCAGGAAAGATGAGGCAGAAGTGGAGGTCAGGGAGATTGAAACATGAAAAGGACTTGCCTCACCGTTGCCAGCTCTGATGGTGAAGGGGGCCATGACTCAAAAAAGGCAGGCAGCCTCTAAAAGCTGAAAACAACCCCACCCAACAACCAGCAAGGAAATAGGACCTCAGTCCTACAACCATATGGAAGTGGATTCTGCCAACAACCCAAGCGAGCCTGGAAGCAGTTTCTTCCCCAGAGCCTCCAGTAAAGAATGCAGCCCTGCAGACATCCTGATTTCAGTCCCGTGAGAGCCATTTCAGACTTCCGAGCTGAAGACACTAAGATAATAAATGTATGTTGCTTTAAACAGCCAATTTGTGGTAATTTGTTAAAGCAGCAACTGAAAGTTAGTATCAAGGCTTAAATGCTTCAAAAACAACTGTTTTGTTTACCTCTGATAAGCTGGTTGATTTTTAAGGTGCTTTGGATTGGCTATCTTACTTTTCTCAGGAGAAGTTGCATTTTCAAACTTGGGAGCAGTATGGAAAAAAATGGAAGATTCTGAGACATGGGTACCCATTCCAAAGGAGGCTCCCCACCATCAAATTGAAAACCTTGGGATTAACATTATCAACATGAAGGTAAAGAGCAAAAATCATTGAGGGCTCCTCAGTCCGTAAGGTTAACATTGGCTCAACTGGCCATCCGCCCTCTAGCACATTGCTTAAAATCCTGAGAAATATGCCATAGGGATGTTCCAGGCAATTGCACATCCCGCTCCCCAGGAATCCCCACCATGCTCCCGTCCTGAAGGTCTGGACTGGGCAGATTTGCACTCTCCCCCCCCTGACTTCCTGATTCCCCCTTGCTCTGGCTTCTTCTCTTCTGGTCCCTCTATAACTCTCTTAGACCCTGCAGGGCACTGTCCTAACTGATGGCAGGGTCTGCGCCAAACTCCGTTCTGTCAGAGAAGTGGAAAAGGGAAGTCAGGAAGCAGTGAGAAAGCCTTTAACAATCTCTTCTTCTCCTATCAAAGGATTCCCTATCCAGGTAAAGAGGACAAAGGGAGGAATTACTCTGTGCTGTCTCCTTTGGGTCAGGCTTGCTCATGATGCCATTAAACTTCCATTCTGAGATTAGAACGCAAAGAGAAGAGAAGAGATAATGGATGCGGCCAATGCAAGCAAAGCAAAACAAGAACAGTGAGTACAATTGAGTAGTTGTTTTTACTATTTTGCATTCCTTTAGGCCATGTGTCTTCTCCAAGCTTCCTTTACTTCTCTGCTAATATGACAGCCTGGTCTTAATTCTGGATGCCACTTGCATCTGGTTTCATCTATACTTTTGATCCATATTTCCAGATTATACCCTACATGACACATCACCTTTCTACATCAGTTCAAACTCATAGATCAACTCTCTCTTCTGATTTCAACAGAAACTGCCTCATCTTGTCACCTTGGTCCCCCAGGCAAAATGTAAAAATTGGATACCTTTCTCTCCAGAAAGGAGTGCTTTAAAATATACAGGAACCAACAAATAGATGCTAAAATTAGTGGGTAAAAGTTTATGGAGAAACAGAAGAGTATCTCACCCAAAATAAGTATTAATTTTAAAGGGAAAATAAGCACCTTTTCAGGAGAGAAACCTGGTAGACACACCTTAACCAAGTGATCAATGTCAACATCAACATTTATAAGACGTCAACATCATGTACCCCTTGATATCATATTCTGAGAAGGGCATATCACGTCTATGGCATTTTTACCAAAAATGTGTAATCTGAATCAGTCATGAGAAAGCATCAGACAAACCCAAATTGAGGGAAATTTTACAAAATACCTGACCAGAACTCTTCAAAAGTAGCCTGGTCACAAAAGACAAGGAAAAACAGAAACTGTCAAAGATTGGAGGAGATGAAGAAAACAAACATGAAATTAAATGCAACACAGCATCCTGGATTGGATCCTGGAACAGAAGAAAGAAATCAGTGGAAAAACTAGTGAAAGCAGAATAAAATTTGCAGCCTAACTAATTGTATTGTACCAACATTAACTTCTTAGCTTTGATCACTATAACGTGATTATATGACATATTAGAGACTCTGGACCGTAGATATAAGAGAACTCTCTGTGCTATTGGCAACTCTCCGTAGTCTAAACTTGACTCTGCTGCAAATTACCTGTATGACCTTGAAAAATTAAACTGAGTCTCATTTATTCATCTTTGAAAGTTTTAGATCAAATGATCTCCAAAGATCCAAACTGAAATAAAAGAGAGGAAACATAAGCAAACGAAGAGAAGAAAATGATAACTGAGTGTACAAAATTTGTAAGACAAACCTTTCACATATAATATTAATCTTCAAAATAACCAAAATACACACACGACAGGCAAGTAAATTTCAGTAAGATAATGAGTAAAACACTCAGCACACATTGTAAGTACTCAATAAATGTCATTGTTTGTGACTCCACAAAGTGATTTACCCGAGAAAGTAGAAAGGCTTTATTTTGGACCCTGGCCTTCTAGACTCTTAACGTGGTTCAGAGAGAAGGAGTAGTATATAAGGAAATAGTCTGAAAAACAAAACAGAATTAACATCAAAATCATGCGGGGTCGGTGAGCCGAGGAGTCGAAAGAAATATTTCTTAGACTCTCAAGATCTGGCAGTAGTGCTCTTTTATTTAGAGAATAGTACAGAATAGCATGGGGACAGGACCCATGGGCAGTCAGAGCTTCTGCTGCATGGGGACAGGGCCCACAGGCAGTCAGAGATGCTGCCGGCATGGGGAGCTGCTGCTGCCGCCGCTGGCATGGTGACAGGACCCATGGGCAGGCAGAGCTGCTGCCGGCATGTTGCTCTTGCTGCTGCCGCTTCTGCTGCAAAGTTGGGTGGAGAGTAAGGCTAAATTTAAGGCATAGGTATGTGAATTATCTCTTTACAAGACAAAAAAAAAGTTAAAATGGTACCAGTGCCGTTAGGGTCCGGCCATTGGGTGGTCCCACAACTTTTAGATAAGAATCAAACTGGATTGAGTAAATGGCAGAAGTCACCGCTCAAATATTATCTTCAACTGAAGACAAAGGAGGATTTTGGGGTGGGGGGTCAGTTACATGAGGTTGCCAGACAGTAAACAACTTAAGTTCTTGCCTTCCCCATTAAGAGTTTCCAGAGATAAGGCCACACCCCCTTCCTCCTGGGGGAGGTATGGAGATTTCCTTCACAAATGCAACTGTCTCTGATCAAAGGGCAAACAAATTCCACTCCTCGGAGCCTGCTTCTTATCTGTAGTTTTAAAAGTAACCAGCCTAAAAATCCTCGTCATAAACCATTTTAAAATTAAGCATCCTAAAAATCCTCATCACTACAAGATACTATTTAGATCTGAGGAAAAGGAAGAGAACTGGAAAGTCAACAATGTTCCAAGAATGAAAAATCTCCAGTGGATTAAAATCTGAGGCTACAGAGAATAATCTACTGTGTGAATGAACCATTTGAAATCCCACCCCTACAG